TAGCAAAGTTATTAAGCTAAAAGGCAACGTAGGTATTGAGAACAATTTCATAATGAAACTTAACGTCACTTGTGCTCTACTGTAATGATCAAAAACAATGAAATCCTCATATGTTGTTGGCTTGGTTGCAGAACTACCTAACCCCCAAGAATGACAAATAATTAAAAGTTTCGTTCATTACCAATACTCTTTTGTTGCGTTCTTTACTCTCTTTGCGAAAAATACTCATGATCTATTGATGGTTGAAGTTTATGGTGATGTTCAAATTGGGCTTACTTCTGAGAAAGTTAGACAAACATTAATGCCGTTACGGCTTCATTTTCTTAATTAGGATAGTCCTCTGTGGCAACGTTCAATGCTGGAAGCTACAAAAAAAATGTCTACAATAGCCAGACTGTTTTTTCTTGCGTTATATGATGCATTGGGCACTTGTATTGACAGGAAAAGTTGTAGCCTTTTCCGTAAAAATGCCCTGAGAGCGATCATCAATCGACAAAACCTCTCATACTTTCGTTTGCGCTCACGACGACCAGTTCATTGCATTTTTCTGTCTTCCTGAAAGCGAATGTTTATGAGGCAAAAGGCAGTGTCGAAAAATTACAATAGCGATCGTATTTATCCGTAGCGTGTCTAGCGATAGGCTAATCCAAACCAGTTCATAGTTTTCGGACTTTCAAAATCACTTCCAAGTAAATTTCAAAGTGGTCTCGATATTTGGCATCAAATGTTGTATGAAAAGTCTACCAAAAGGAAAGGACCGTAAGCATAGCAAAAGTGCTAAGCGACAAGTACGTAGGCTCCTGTCGCAATATACCAAAGTAAAGCGAAGAAATCTATATATAAAAGGGAACTGTCTAACTCTGAGATAAAGCAATCTTAGGAATTTATCCGCTTATATCCGTGCACACCTATTTTTGTCAATCTGTGTGTATATATATATATTTTGATTATATTCTAGTGATTAAATTCGTTGGAGAACGTGCAAAGTACCATCGGTGTAAGCGGTTTTATTAGGTGCGAAAAATAGAACTAGTCCACAAAGCTTCTGAATAGGATTGTTACTCTAGTAATTGATGTTTCAAATTTGTTACTCCACTTAGTCATAATTAAAAGGATTTTTCGCATCTTAATTGGTCGAAAGAAACTGAAATATTAATTTAAGCTTTTCAAATTGAATCCTCAAACGAAATCCGCTCACACAATCATTTACAGTAATTTTTCGGACATTTTCAATGGACTCTGATTCCTCTGTGGTTTATGAGCTGAAACCTAATGACGCAAGCTTGAAAGAAACGGATGACAATTAGAAGTCCTTGTGAAAACACCCTGTACTGGAAATATATAAAAATTGTAAAAATTTATATAAAGTTTAAGGAAAGAAAAAAAAATTATATGAGTTTTTTACTTTCGGAAAAAAATTTCAAACAATATTTGAAACACTTAAAAGCTTAAGAGAAAATTATCTTTCATCCCGTCCGTCCATAACCGTTATCCTTTTAACTGTGAGCACCAACTTACATAAAATGAATAAAAAGGAAACGACATAAACCCTAACATGAAAGAAAAGAAAGACAAACATAATAGAGAGAAATTTTGTTTAAAAAATCTTTTGTACGTATATGTACATATACACATGCACACATACGAGAAAGTAGGAAAGACATGAAAAAAAAAGACATGTCTCCTGTCTGGCTGTCAGCATTTTAAATAGATATACATGTTCGGAACAGAAAGCCCGTTAGTTGTGCTCTGCCGCCGCATTTTCGCTTCAGTAATGCTAATGTCAATGCACATTTTGCCGTCACTTTTTTTTTTTTTTTTGGGGTCTTCTTTCTCATCACACTGTCCGCTAATGCGAACGCATGCATTTATTCATTTTTCTTTTGATTTCTATTCACATTTTCTATAAAGTCTTGCTTTCGCTCCTTTTCGGATTAACTATTTGAAGCGCGTTGTACGGACTGAGAAGTTAAATACTACGTAATGTTAAATAGTTTATAGATTTTCTTGGTTTCTCATATACATATGCACACATATTCATGAATAAACATTACTTTTCTATTATATTGGGTTAGTAACTTGCATTTCTTTTCCTTTCCGTATTCATTATGATTACGTTCCAAACTTTGCACTCAGTTCACTGTTTGTTAAAAGCAATGAGTGCATGTTTACATGAGTCGTACTATAATAATTATAATAATAAGCGTTTGCTAATAATGGCAGCAAGACTCGTAGACAAAGGAGAAGACGAACGGGTAGGAGGCAATTGAATAGACGTTGTTAGACAAACACTTAGTTAAGAATACAATGAATGTGCAGCACATTTCTAAACTACATGCTGAGAGACAGGTTTATACAAAAGCAACCGACCAGTCAACCCTCCAGCAAATATTTTAATAAAACTTCCGCTTTTTCAAATTCCTTTTCATTGCGAAGCACATAATTATTATTTGCTGCAAGGCTTTGGTTTCTTCATTAATTAACCAAAATTTTAATGGTTTTTATATAGAAGCTTTTTGCTTGAGAAAGTTAAAATTAAGAAGGGCTTTGACCTCAAAAAATTATCACTAAGTTGCTTTGGCATTTCCGAAAAGAACAAAAATTTATCATAGCAAAATTCAAAATGACAAAAAGAAAAAAAAAGATGAGATGAAGAAAAAGAAGTAATAAAAAGATACATAGACAGATATATATATATATATATATATATATATAGAGAGAGAGAGAGAGGAATAAAATTTTGTTAATTTTAACTAAGCAAAACCTTAATCAACAACTATCAAGAGAAACCTCTAATTAAAAACTATAAAGCTAATGAATTCACTTTTCTGCTTACACAAAACGGAAAGCTCAAAGATCAAAAAAATTCCGAAATAGTATTCGAATTAAACTCCACGTAGACTAGCAACAAACGGATGCAGGCATTGGATGATATGCAATTTAATTAATAAATGTCCCTAACCGCTTCTCTAGGCACTTCATCTTGGTTAAGCTTAGCCAGTGTAAATATAATTATGAGCTGTTTAATCCGTTCAGAGTAGTTTGCAAGAACCTAAATGACGTCTATCACTTATTACACTCGTTATCGGACTCCATTAAAGTCCATTAAAGCAACATTACTTAATACGTGAGATTTACCTATGTCTTACTGAAACTAGTTTTTATCCTTAAAACTCGTTACGATTGGAATATGAATTGTTGTTGAGTATTATCGGTTGCCAGGCTTATGCATGTTTGCGATGGCTTTAGGGGTCATTTGCAATTTGGTCCTGTACCGGTTGTAAGTGTAGCTCTATGCTGGTTGTGTACATGCTTTTTTTTCCGTCTTATTTGTTTTATTGTACCTATACTAAGTTTTATTAATAATTTAATATAAGTTTTGCTTTAAGTGCCAATTGAACTCGACTGTTATTTGTTTAGTCGAGTTTCATGCATAAGTAGAATTAAAATAAATAAATAAATTCCTCCCACTTTTCGACCATACCATACACACACCTTAGAAATTATTTTCAAACAAGTGCGATGAATCCCAGGCCGATATATTGGAACTGCAAAGTATATGGATTCACTAGTTCAGCGATGATCACCATTTGCACACTTAATTTTTAGCTTGCCATAGATAGAACTAATATTCAGTTTCATAGACTGTAAAATGCTTCCTCTATTTATTGTGGGCGCTTCAAGAGGTGTGTAATGAAACTTTTTTGCTAAAATTGTAGGTGGTTCTTATAAACATTTCGGTAGCTTTTAGATCAACATCTGCTATTAATTAGTTCTTGAAGGTATGGAAATTTAAACCTAGCCTGCGCCTTTGAAAAGGATCATACTATGTTTCCAGTTTTAGGTTTTGTCATCAATAAACAAAAGCCAAATAGAAACAGTAACGAATGGATTAAGAGATTTAACCGAACTCATTAAACATATATTTACATATGTTAAAGAATCACGTAGAGATGTTTCTGTTTATTAAAAAGGGGAAGACATATCCAATTTATTGTCATCATTCGGTGGAGAGTAAACCAATTTTCTTCACTTCAATAAATAACTTAACTATTTGGGAGAAACAATGCATGTTATATTTGGTCATAATTACAATTTTATATTTTTAAAATACAATGCATTTCACCCATACCGAAGAAACATTGCTCATCACACATTTTAAATCGCAATATACTTCGAATATTTTATAATCGATTCAAATAGATGAGGTATGTAACGATGCTTTTAACAAACACAGCCGTGGAGTATCTCAGGAAACTACAGAAAAAATATTGATTAGGGTGGCATTGCCAAAGACCCTCGCCTTTTTCTTTGACTTTAATTCTCTTCTCACCGAAAGGACTTTTCCATTTCCTTTTCTAACACTAATCTTTTCTAAGTTTACTTGTCTTATTCTTTTTTTCTTATAAAGGTTTTTGCCACTTCCCAATATGTTTGATATTCGAATTTTTTTTAAAAATCGCCGAACGGCAATCATAATTTTTCATAATTCTTCTATTATAGTCAATATTTTCTTTATTGACTTTTAACGTTAGTTATATTCTTTCGTTGAAATTACTTTTAAACACGGTTCGCACTGTATATACTCTGGCCAAAGTATTGTTCAGCATTTGGTCGACAGTACAGCGATCTCTGTAATTTCGCAGTGTTCAACATAATTTCTATATCAAGGCTATTCGTCTTTTTTCAGGATTTATGTCTTTATTTTTAATTTCGAAGTTTTAGCGTTTATTTATTCTCAACGATTCGTTAGTACGTTTCCCGCGTGGACCCAATATTTCAGTGCTGTCTCTTTGAACCGTCTCCACACTCACCCATTTCTTAAGTATCAATCTTTTCAAGATCTCTGGAAGCAAACATTAATATTGGTTTACAGAGCAGAGTAACGGTCGAACTAGTTATGGTTTTTACATACTATAGGGCTTATTAAAATATAAATAAGTATTTAATATAAAATTTGTACAACATTTTTGAAGAATTTAATGAAAATTTTTACTTACAATCGTTGCGCAAGACGGTGCATTGCCTACGTATGGCAGCCTTGCGCCAAAATATCGTCGGCTTTGCCGCTTGCCAACCCAACGACCAAGCAAGTCGCCACCCCAACTGGTGCGCTGCTGCCTACCTCTTATGCATGAAGTAGGTGAGCGTTTACTGTGAGGCGGTATCGTATAGAATTCAGTTGCCTTCCAATAATGAATGAGTTAAACCGTTAATCACAACAAATCAAGACAATACGTCCAGCAGTAAAGACATTTAGTATGCCAGCGAAAGAAAAGAAAAACGAAGAAAAGAACTCTTGCAACGTGCGGCGTTTTTCCTTATAGTAGTGTTATAAACGAAATTATGCAAATATTATTGCATTATGAACACAGAACACACATTTTAAGATTATTTCGTACTGAATAGTTTTTGTTTTGCTAAGTTTTCAAATGTTCTGCTTCGTCTTTCTCTTAAATTAAAAATATGCCTTTTTTTTTTTTTTTTTGGTCTGTTGATTCTTGGTATGGTGTTTATGTATATATGTTTATGTGAATGTTCTTGTATAATAACAGGCTTTGATGAGAAAATATACAACAACAACAACAACAGGTTTTACAAATCCATTGCTTTTGAAATTCCTTTTGTGTTGTTCAACTGACAGATGAGAATTTATGCAACGGTTGACAGTTAAGTTTCGCTTCAAATGACAGCTCTACGTCTGCTGATGTTGAGGGTGTCGTTGTTGATGATTACAATGTATCTGGCGGTGCAGGTGGCGCTGGTTTTTTCTACTTTGTTTAATGTTCATTTAAATAGAATGATACTGGTTTTAGGTCTTTATTTCTTCTTTTTCCGTGTTAATTTTTTCAGTTTGCTGGTACGTACCCAAAACACATTAATTAAGTTGCTTTGCCATTATTTTATAGAAATTTTCGTGAAGAACAAATTTCGTCTTGCTAATGCTGTAGGTGTTCTTTAAGTCTTTAACAATTCCTTAATTTGCATTTTTTTCCTCACCACCGATTGTCACCTAGTGGTGCAATAAAATACTAACAGCTGCCGTTAAGCTAAGCTAAGCTAAGCTAAAATGTGTTTTTATTATAGTTTGAAATTCCTTTTTGCAAAAGTCTTTTAGTTTTTTATTTTATAGTTTTTTATTTTTTTTCCTCTAGTAAGCCTATTTAGTGGTTATGGATTTCTTGAGATGCGTGTACGTATGTGTATTTGTAGATGGTCGAGCGTTAAGCACTCACTAAAACTTTTCGTAACTAACTAAAAGTTTAAATGCCGTTTGCAATGGAAATTCCAGTTGTAGAGAACGCGCGGTTATTTCCACCGCAATCCGAGTTTTTTTTTTTTTAAATATTTTTTTATTAATTTTTTTTACAATTGTTTGCTTTAAATGCAGTCTTTACGTTTAGCACCTTAGAACAATCTGAAATATTTTTACCACTTCTGAGGATGCTGCAGCTGCTGTTCAGCTTACGCAGCTTATGATTTTATAAATCATAACGACGTAGTAACGCCTGTGTATGTTGTATTATGAATATTGCTTACACTTGGCGTTCTTTTGGGGGGCTCATCGTTGTAACCAAAATTATTTAATCTGAAAATATAAGAGAAGTAGAGAAGCAGAAAATATAAAGAAAAAGAATTAATTAGTCTGCCTTAAAATATGCAAAGATAATTAAGTACTTTAGTTAATTTAAAGCAAATAGTTACGAAACAAAAACCAAACAAGACCAAATAATTAAAAAAGGAAAATAGAAAAATAAAAGATACGTTCCCACTCTCATTTTATGAACTTTTTGTAAATAAAACTAAAAACGAAAGCAAAGCAATATATATACGTATAAAAAAGGGAAAAACCTCAAATTAATATTTTATGTTCTTCTATGTATGTTTGTGTGTATGCATCTGAGTTTGAAAGAGAGAAAGACAGTAATGAGATTTTATTTTATTTACAATTTTTTTCTAAGGTTTTTTTTAATCACCCAAAAATGCCAATTCAATTGCATCGTGCACACAACATTTATAAATAGGAGAATGCAGATTTGCTGTCAAAGAAATCCCAGGAATTATTTAGTCTAAAATCCTGCCAATCGCAGTTGACTGCGAACACCCAGAGACAACTCCGAAAATATTCACTTAATAGTTCTTCATGTCAGGTACTCGTGAGTTGCTTTCACGTTGTTTTTACATTTCCTTTTATTTATTTCAATTGAATTTTTTTTCATATAGAATTCTGCGAACTCCATAACGGTTACGATAATATTAATTTGTCGGAGAGACGATGACATGAGTTGGAATTTAATTTTCTTTCCATTGTCGCCGACCAAGTACAGTAATTATTAAAGAAGGCACCTTTTCGGGTGCGATCTTCCCATATTTAAATTCATGCAAAATGAATTCACCTTGAAGAAGATCAAATAAATCTTTATGATTAATAAACAAATGCGCTATTAATTTTTGACGACTCCCATTACTTCCTTGACATAATGTAGACATACGTTCTTATCTTATATAAATAAAAATAAATTTTATAGGAATTTTGCCAAGAAAAAAACTGCTGAATTTAATTTTTTTCCTCCTAGTCCCACCCCCTTTTAGTTGACACCAATTTTGGCAAATTGCCAAAGCCTATGCTTCTAACGCCTGATAAATATTTACATGAAGTGTTTGTATGCAGCAAACTCAAAATCCATCTATTGTCACTGTATAAAGTTAATGTAAGCAATCTGTACGGTTTTTAAAGGCTTTTATTGCCGAACAATGAAGAGTTGTATTAAGGACCAAAAATTCTCTTAGATGTGTAAAATTGAGAAACTTTAAAAAAAAATATTTTTGTTAATTTCCTTTGATTTAATTTTATTATTTAAAATTAAAGTAAAAACAGGTGGATTTTAAAAATGAACACCTTTTAATACCGTACAAGCAACTACAGTGAATGTTGTACGTGCAGAGACATAACGTATGCCATTTGGGGCTACACATACAAGGCCGTGGCGGCATTCAACAAAAATATTCTTAAACCGCAAAACGGTCGGTAGCAAACACTCCTTTCTTGTTCTCCACTTCTTTCTCCGTAATCTTGATGCTTACTCCGAACAGATAATGTATTTGTTCAATTTACAATTGTAACGAAATAGCGCTGCGAGATAAAAGTATTCGGTATTATTTCCCATTGAACCAACAAAACAAAAAAAGCAAGACAAAAGGAAGCAATGAAGAATAACGTAAGAAAGTCTTCCTTTACTTAAATAAAGCTATGAAAAACATAAGAAACTCACTTAAGAAGGTCAGTTTGCACTATTTTCTACTTCAAAATAAAACGCTACAAATTTTAATAGACTTACGACCAGTTTTACAGATAAAAGTATAGCCTCTAAGGAACGTTCGATACGATTCAAATAAATTAATCTTAATTAAAATTAACTATAACTTTACTTTTTGTTCCAACTGAAAAAAATTAAAATGCAAAACTAATCTTTAAACCACACAATCGTTGCAACTAAACCATAATTAAAGCGGTTTTGAGTATTGCAAAAAAAAATATTGTAAGAAGACAATACATTACAACATACGTATTAAAACAAAGTAGAATGCTATATACCGTGAGTCTCATTAATATTGCGTTATTTCGCTCGACAAAAGATAAACGCTTGTCAAACCTAGTCCAAATAAAAATTTATATTACTATTTTGAACTACTAGGGAATGTATATTAAAATTTAAAAAAAAACAAAAACAAACAAAACATTATTCCAATAGATGAGTAAATAAATAACTTTAAGAACTCAAAAAATATACTGTCATTAATATTGTGTTTTTCTCATATAAGGAAGGATACGAAGAAAAAAGACAGCATATTATTATTTTTAAGCTATTCTTTTGCCATTTGACATATTCGTCGTTTTGACATATTTTGTATAATTTTTCTTGTGTAGGAAAAAAGATTCATACTCCATTCTTCTTGTATTTTCCAGATCTTGGACAGAAGAGATTAGGTGTTTTCGCACACGGCAGTCTGATTCATTCCGAATATTTTTGATGCGGTTTAAGCCTGGTGATTGGGAAAGAGGATGATGCACTTCGGGGCAATTATAAAAGAGCCATTCTTGAATTAAGTGGGACTTATGCCTTAGGTCGTTTACTTGCCCGCACATTCTTTCAAATTTTACTTCAATATCCTTAAAAAAACCCTCCTTGTTTAGGATGCCACCCATAAACACCAATTTTCCGTCTCCATTGGCCCCAAAGCATATCCAAACTACAACGTGACCACTGCCATTCCCGACTTAAGCTGTTGTGGTATAAGAACGGAGTAGGAAGCTACGATTAAAAATTGCGAGAAAGCACGTTTCCAAGTTCATTTTTTTCGTTATACTTGCTCTTATATTGCGTCGCTCCACTAAGAATTGGTCGTTTTCTCTGGCATATTCCTCCCAATTCTTTTATACGTAACAAATTGTACTGAACACAACATATTACTGTCCATCGGCAGAGGGGAGATGAACTATGCTTTGATGGGTAGCATAGATGTGCCGAAACTCTCACCTCCCAGTGGTGATCCCCGGGCAACGGCTTCGGCCGGCTAAGAAGAGTTTAAGGTTTTGGGCTGCTAACTCGGCGACGAGTTTCGGAGAGATGGTGGAGGGGTTGGCTGGAAGATGAGCTCTTCACTCTATAGCTGGCTACTACCATGGGTTTAATGGGTTTAAGTACGTCGAAGGTAGTAACCTAGCGAGTGCATGGTAGATTACTCTGCCATGTCAGTGCAATACCCGAGACCTATATATCTTGAAGGAAAGTAGTTCACTGGTGTTGGTAATCAGGAGAGTATGGAGAATCCGAAGCAAGTGCGGTTGTTTTTAACATCCGCCCAAAGTATGCCTAAGGCTTTGTAAAATAAACTGGGAGCCACGGGGGTCAGGAGGCTCGCCTCACAAAGCCACGTATGCCTGCGGGTGTATGATGGACTTTGTCCTTAAGTCGTAATGAATAAATTAATTATACTATTAATGCAAAAAGGAATTGACGGACGGCCTTCCCTTTGGCCGATTAATAGAACATATCTGGCAAATTAATTTAATACATGCAAAAATGAAAAAAGGGATATGACGAAAGGTTTTTCCCCTTTTACCTATTTTTACTTTCGAACACATGTCACGGATGCCTGCGGGTAATGGTGGTAATTGATCAACGGCGCCGTGGAAGCCTTATGGCGGAAGCGAGCGCAAATTTTTTTTTTACCCTTTTTGAACGCATATCGTTGATCAATTTGTGAGTCCTGACTGCTTGGGTGCGGCCCTTCGGGGAGTACTCGTGGTGGTTGTGGTTGGCGAGTTCCTAGCTAAAATGGAACAATTGAGTGCAGCTAGGCCTCGCCATTGACCAGAGTGGGGTTTATTGTTCCATACACAATAAACCGTTCTGGACTCTGGTGCTGTTTAGGCCCCTACTCTGTGGGGATTGTCTAACTCGCCAGGGGGCGTAGTACGCTTAAAAGTGGCTTGGGCCGCCGTGGGGTTAAGCCTTTCAGGCAGGAACCCACGTTAAACCCTTGCCACAAATTCTGTCCATCGGCAGATTCATTCTATGCAATTGTAAAAATTTTATACGAGTAGAAACACTACTTATTGATATATTGAATATTTTCCCCGTACTTTTGGACAAAGGTGCCGTGACATATAAAAACAGAACAAGGAATACATAGCAAGGGGTATAAACCTGAACATCTACTATTACGAAAGACCCTGTGTCCACAGCAAAAAACTCAATTCTAACAAAGGCAATCTATAACACTCTAGCTATTATCGTTGTAAAACCGCCTTAATAGCCGAGTAGGTAACCACCCCGTCTACTAAGTCAATGTTCGCGGGTTCAAATCTCAAGTACGGTATAGTTTTCTGTGGTCGTAGCCCAATCAGTGAAGGCATAATCCTTGTCGATGTCACCCACTAGACTGCGTCCATCACCTTCGTACTTTGTTTCTCTCTTCTGCTCTTCTTTCCGATCGTCACCCTGTTACACGAATAGGGGACATCCTCTGAGGGATTGGCTATGGTAACAAGTAAGTAAGGAAAGAGACAATAAAAATTAAGGTTACGAGACTTGAAAAAATAGCCTGTAATAATTCCACTTATATAAAAAATACAAAACATAAATAAGAGGCGTTAGCAAAAACTGTACAATATTGACTGAATTTTAGGCAATGAATTAGGTCAGGAGAGTAAGAAGACTAGAACTATGGAAATACGATTCACAAATCATTTATTGAGTAAACGTTCCGAAAAAGTTTAGAAAAAAAAGTGTACCTGTAACAAAGGCTGGTCAACTTTATTCATAGAACGATATACAAAAGAAAAAAATTAATAACAAATTTGAACACTTAAGGTGTTGTTAAATCTAACCAACTTAGTGGTGACTAGAACTACTACCATTAAAAAAGCATAAAGAGTATGCTGCATTCTGCATAACTCTATTTAAAAGTCTAAAAAGAATAACTGATGTCTCGTGCAGTTATCGACTAATTGAGCAATTCCCAATGCCACCATTGCACGCGCGTTAGAACAACCATAATCAAACTTAACTGAAAATACATTAG